CTGGTCGGTTGGAGGCCATCGCTAGTAAGTTGGAGGCCATCGCTAGTAGGTTGGAGGCCATGGTTAGTAGGTTGGAGGTCATTACTACAAGTAACAAGAATGCAGGATTCAGCACCATTGTGCAGCAGTTCTCCTGTTTCAGTTCCTTCTCCAAGCGCAACTGCTCCTCGCGTATACGATAATTCTCGTCCTTGGCGTGTGAAACACCGCCATTGTAGCCATGTCTGGCTGTTGCAATGAAAGTCTCGTCTTACTAGTAGTAACAAGTGCATCGCTACTAGTAACCAGTGCCTTACTAGTAATAACAAGAAGCGAACGTAGAAACAATAGTTTCTACTAGTTTCTTGTTACTACTAGTAAGGCACTTGTTACTAGTCTCGTCTTTTGTGGCTTACAAAGGCGAGATACAAGCCAAGGCCTCCAACCTAGAAGCCTTCTTGCTACTAGTAATGCTAGGAGCTACTAGAAGCGTTCTTGCTCCTAGTAGCGATGCCCTGGTTCCTAGTAGCCTCCTTGTTACTGGCCGAAGCAATGCGAGAAGCAAAGGCAAGAACCTTCAGGATACGAAGCTCAAGTGCCAATTGGTCCACCTTCCGCGTGGCCTTGTGGTACCAAATCGAAGCAAAGCACGAACTGATCGTAACAGACACCACATGAGCAAAAAAAAATAAACATAAATCTGAAGAAACCACCACAGGGCCTCATCCCCTAACCTGAGGACGTCAAGTTTGTTATCGACATGTCGTTAGGTCAAGCAGCACATGTTTGTCATCTGATTTAAACAAAATTTTAAGAAATAAAAAAAATAGAACAAAACCTCGTGGAGTTAACACGTGTTGACACCAAAGTTGACACCTAGTGCTGCTAGAGCGTAGCACAGCATGCTGCTTGAATGTAGCTGCCTAACTTCGAGTGGCTCACGCAAGGCAGGCGCAGGTCTTGGTTTTCGCGTGACACACAGGTGTCTGAGTCAAACATGAGCAAGAGTTTGGAAGGAGGCCACAGCAGCGAGGGAGATAACACATGCCCACAGAGAATTTGCCGCGTTGACCCTCAAAATTCGATGTTGAATTCGAAGGTGCCACATGAATTCGAAGGTGCCACATGCTGCATGACGAGCAGCTTCAACCGCCTTCCACATGCCTTTCAACCTATTCAGTTCATCAGTGATTGCAGGTTGTGGAGTGTATTTTTGGTCGCAGGCTATGCAGAGAAGATGGTAGGGTCGATGAGCGAAAAAGACGCGATGAATATGTGCCGCTTTCAAGGACACGTTTCGTGTAATTTTAAGCAAATGCCACCCAAAACGGATGGAGAACACTTTGGGAAACCCAATTTTTTGTCTCATCAGTGTGTTCTGTCGAAAAAATCATCCTGTTTGTGATGTTTCAAAATGTGAAAGTCTAGGAGTTTCTCGTGCAAAAACTGCTTGAAGTTGCACCCTCTCCTCTAAATGAATTGCATCGTGCGACATACCTTTTGAAAAACATTGCTATAGCTATAGCTGCTTCTCATCAATTTGCCCATCTGTTCCAACCACTGTGCCCCTCGCTGACGGTCTCCGGTGACCTGTTAAAATTCAAGATGAATTTGAACATGTTGATGACATCAACTGCAAAACACGCAAATGCACGGGTACAAAATATTAAGCATGGATCTATGAAGTTTGGCCTTGTCCAAATCACAAAGCACTCCAGGCCTTGTATGCTTTGTATCTCAACATGTTTTGTGTCTCAACATGTTTGTAACAATGTCAATGCCCAACCAGCTACAAGAACAAGAACAGGGGAAAAAAAGAACAGTTGTTTAAAACAAAGGAACGAAATGGAATTGACTAGCGGCAAAATGGATAATTGTATATGATCAAAACCAAGCGGAATGATTCTGTGTGAAACGCCAAGCGCCCCACCCGCAAAGTTGGCCCATGGAGCCACAAATGTGTCCGTTGAGAACGCTTTATAGTTCACTTCTACAAACAGCGGAATGAACCTGCTCTCGGATTTGCTGTATTTCTTCAATCTGATCCAAGACGTGCACTTTCGAACATATCTTTCCTTGTTGTCAACGCTTTCGTGCTACAAGTGCTTCGAGCCGAATAAGGATGCGCACACAAAAACCGAATACCAGCTTCATGCAAAATTGCCAGCTGGCAATGCGGACCTTCTTTCTTAGCTCTACAGATCTTCACCCATGTGGTGAACAGGCAACTTCTTGTTCCCCAAACACTCTGGGCTCTTACGGTAATAGTATCGGGCATCGGGACTGCGCTCTCGTTGCGGCGTCGGGCACGTTTTGGGACTCGTTGCTCAAATTCGTGGCAGGCGCGAGCAGCGCGAGGGACACCGATGTGCACATTTCGTGGCAAGTGCAACACTTTGGACACAGTGCTGGTCTTTGGCGGGCTCTGACTTCGTGGCAAGTGCAGTGAATCGTGCACGTGGTTTTTGTTGTGTTTTTTCAGAAGTCGGAGTTTGGCATTGTGACGTTGTCTTTTGGAAGCACTGTTGCTGCAAGACGCTTTGGCAGGACTGCCCGATATGAATTTTGATGTGCAAATTTCGTGCCAGGCGCAATACTTTGTAAAACTTGAAGTGCTGATTTCGTGGCAGGCACAGCACTTTGTGGACTTTGGAGCGCGAGTTTAGTGGCAGGCGCAATACTTAAATGCTTTGTGGACGTGCAGATTTCATGGCGCCGGCAATACTTTGTTGACCTTGAAGTGCAGATTTCATGGCAGGTGCAGCACTTCATGCGTGTGTGGGCGCTCCAGACCTGCAGCCCTAGATCTTTAGACACCTACGTCTCTCTCCCCCTTCCTCTCTCTCTCTCTCTCTCTCCACCTCTAGACCTCCTAGAACTCTCGCTTAGACCTTCACATTCCAAACCTGGGTTGCAAACCATCGTCACCACCATCATCAACCATCCCGAATTTTTTAGCGTCGTCAAATTTTGAGGGAACCTTCTCATTTGGACCGCATATAGTCTGGTGGGATCAGGATCCCAGTTATCTTGTTTTCTCCAGGATTGGGGCAGGATTGGCCAGTCTGAGCGTGTGGCGTCGTCCGTGGCACAACCCCATGTTAACGTTCTTTCCATTGAAGTCCGGAGCCATTTCCATGCGCGCTTCCCTGACAAAATTGTGCCGCTACTTAGCCCTGACCCTCCAAAGCCGTTCAGACGACTACATGACTGCATGCTGGCAATTTTTCCCCAAACAGTGTGGACACACTAGGGGTTCTTACGGTAGGAGAAAAGCAGCTGATGTTTAGATCGCTGAAGCGCGCGGGCGTATGCGGCTTATTCGCTGCTATTTACAGTACATGCATGCCTCTCGAAATCCTCGAAGTGCATTTCGACCAACGACTGCGCTCTCGTTGTGGGGCCGCGCGTTTTCGTACATGGTGGTCACTTTTCGTGGCAGGCGAGTTGGAAAACCTCGTGCTTTGGTGCTCCAAAGTCGAGTTTTCGTGACAAGCGCAAGGGATCGGAGCTGCTTTACTTCGAAATGCAGTTTTCGTGGCAGGCGCAGCCCTTTTTGGATGTGGTGCTGATCAAGGAGCTCGGATTTCGTGACAGGTGCAGTGAGTCGTGACTGTTGGACATGTGGCTCGTTTGCAGATTTCGTGGCCGGTACAGCAGTTAACCTCAATGCAAGATTTCGTGGCAGGCGCAGCACTTTGTCAACTTCAAAGTGCAGATTTCGTGGCAGGTGCAGCACTTTGTGAACCTCAAAGCGCAGATCTCGTGGCAGGCACAGCACTTGGTGAACCTCGAAGCAGACAGCGCTCACATCATTTCCACAGCGCTCTCACTGGCGTCCGCCCTCCAGACCCTTTTGACCTCTGTGGGACGCTTGTCTTTCTGTGACTCCTGAAGCAAAGCTGTTTTGGAGTCACCGCTACAAGCCGGCATTGCACCTTGGGCTCTCTCCTCCCTTCGGGGAGTTGTCCCCGTTTGTAGGGATGCCTCAATTTCGAGCCTGCATGGAAGAGTTTACACTGCAGCTTTGCTTACATCAGCCTGAAACTCTTGGAAGCTGCTAGCAGTGGTTTTCCCCTGAGCCATATCCATGCTACCTTGCGATCACCCTGCAATTTTGAACGCTTCGCGATATCCACTGATGCATGAGCCCATTGCTGCCTGCAAGGCTCACTTACGCCCTTTTAGATGCTCCCACAGTCATTTTTGGCACAAAGAGTCACTGCAGGACGCTTGGTCATTGACAAGCATGACAAGTCAGCATCCAAAAAGGGGCTAAGCTGTCGCGAGAAATGAAACTCCACTTCATCTTACACGGCCTCCTGAGCTACACCCTTGGTTGCAGTTGTCTTTTGGGGGGGCTTTGTGTTTGTGTTGTTTGGGGTTTGGTTGTTTTTGTTTGGTTTGCTTTTTGCTCTTCTGCAACCTAGATCGTAACTCTCTCTTTACTAGCATAAGATGACCTGTGCAACCTCTGCACACAAGGCGTCTGGATCCGTGCAAAAAAACACGAGACAGGGTAAGGTCACCTGCAAGCAGACAAAGAACAGAGCACTGCACCATTGGGTCCCCACAACCGTCCAACAATCCGGCAGGATTGGAAGAAGGTCGAAGTGGAAAGGGCGTGAAAAGAAAACGAGAGAAGGGGAGTGAACATGGGGGAGCGACGGCTCCATATGCATCTCCTACACAACGAAATCTGCGCGCTGCTACACACAGCTTCATGCCGAACTGGGAGGCTTGGGGACAATACCTTGGGGTATTGCCCGTCACCAGCAGCCCGAAAAGCGAATGAAGGCTTTGCATAAGGACATCTGCACCATCAAAGAGGTAAGAAACCGAACAATGATAGGGGACACCCAGGGCAGTAGTTTTATGTTCCAAGGGCATAGTTGCCATCTGCAGCAAATGGTCCGCAGAGACAGTGTTGCCCACTTCCGCAACAAAGGCGTGGGATGCAAGCACTTGAAGCACTTGCATCTTGGCGGAAGCATCCATGTTGCGTCCACGTTCATACCAGTCTCCTCCTGAGATGGAAGAGGAGCAAAGGCTTCAGGAAAGGGGATCAGAGCAACAACCCATGACCTGGGGCTACTCTGTCTAGCCGCAACCTCCTCATAAGTTTCAGTTGACCCCTGTCTGGATTTCTTCTTTGGTTGCGCGACAAATTCTAGGAGGACCCCCAGGAGGGCATACACTGCATTATCTTCACGAAACACTATTCGGTAGACTTTACCCACTTGGCACCCAATGTGTATATTCTCAGGCGGGAGGCTGGTGAGATGGTCAAAATTCTCGTGCTTTACAAACCGGGTACCCTTGTTCATCAGCAATGCGCTAACCCTCAGTGAGTGCCTCAGCACTTGTCCTGGGCAAAGGTGGACAAGGATGCTACTCCTTCGAAATGAGCCTGCTACAGAGAGCGGCGCAAACCTTCTCAAAGCGATCAGTGACGGACTATTACAGGCAGGTAGCGAAATGGCTGCTTATTGGGCTGGCCATGACCATCTCGAGGAAAAGTTGGTATCTATCGATTGGAAAGTTAACGTGTCAAAACCTGCGCCAATACACGGTGAACACCAATCTCCGGCCCAATGGCCACACACGCGCATATTCCCCGGGCAAACAAAACTTGTTCTCCAACCGAGGTCCTCTACCCAAACCTACAACCAAGAACCAAACAACATCCAACAGACTTACGCAAAGCCAACCTTTTCACGTTCACCTAAACCAACAAACGACAAGCAACCGACCAACCAAAAAGAATGGTTGAGCGCGAAGTACACTTGGAACGCCTTGGCGCAAGTGTGGAGCGCCCCGTTTGAAGAAGCGCCGGGACTACAATGTTAAGGCTGTTAAGGTTGCGTTTCGTGGCTTTCCGTTGGTCTTTGTGTTTTCTTGGAAGTTCCTCACTCCGATCCAATTAAAACTTTGTAAAACCCAAACGGGGTGTCGGTACCGCGCATTGTAATAGAGGGCCCGAGCGGCACCGAAGCGGTACCGAGGCGGTACCGCGCATTGTAATAGAGAGCCCGAGCGGTACCGAGGCGGTACCGCGGCGGTACCGCGCATTGTAATAGGGGGCCCGAGCGGTACCGAGGCGGTACCGCGCATTGTAATGGAGGGCCCGAGCGGTACCGAGGCGGTACCGCGCATTGTAATATAGAGGGCCCGAGCGGTATCGAGGCAGTACCGCGCATTGTAACAGAGGGCCCGAGCGGTACCGAGGCGGTACCGCGCATTGTAATAAAGGGCCCGAGCCGTAATGAAGTGGTACGGAGGTGGTATCACGCACTGTAATAGACGGAAGCCTGGCGTAGCTTGCAACAAACATCAAGGACGCGAGCTCAAAACCTCAACAATAATATCTTTTCAAAACCCCCTCCTTCACAACATGCATCAAACAACGACGTCAAATAAAACGAAACAAGGTTTCCTTGCCATAGTGAACGACCAGACATGGCTCCTGTAAACATACGCAAACATGACAGGCTCCACGGCGCCAAACCTTCGCTTAACATCTCCCCACCCTTCTTTCCTCTCATCCAAAATTAAGACAGACCACAAAATAGGAAGAATGGGTTCACAACGGTTGGTCTCAGGGCGCTAGGTCGACTCACGGCGGATGTCTACCACAAGCTTGTAGCAAACAAACATGCACCAAGCGTGCACGGCTTCAATCAGACTGCCAAAAAAAGCAGCTGACCGTTGATCCGTAAGCTTGATTGCTTTCGATCAAGAACATCATACAGGCCAAACGCTTTCTCCCCAGCAATTCTCAACCCTCACAGGTTTTCCAAACTTTTTGCTCCTTCAAGGGATCGAAAAAAGTGATTTTTCTGCACACCAGTTTGGGGTCCAAAAACCCTAGCAAAAACCGGTCCCGCCACAGAGGGCCTCCCCAGTTCAAGAACGCGTGTGGCCATAAATGTTCGCAGGGTGTGGAGAACAAGTGCCTGCGGCGCTGCAAAACCATGGAAAAGCAGCGGCGTGGCAAACTTCTGTCGCGT